AGACCACAGCGGAATGAAGCTGGAAATTAGCATCTCAGGAAACCCCAGAAAGTATGCAAACACATGGAGACTGAACAACATGCTCCTGAATGAACACTGGGTCATTCAAGAAATCAAAAGAGAAATCAGAAAATTTCTGGAAGTAAATGAGGATAACAGCACAACATATCAAAACTTATGGGATACGGCAAAAGCAATATTGAGAGGCAAGTTTATAACAAGTGGGAATCCTCCCAAATTCTTTCTATGAAGCCAGCATCACCTTAGTCCCTAAGCCAGAGAAAGATGCAGCACTGAAAGGAAATTATAGACCAATATCCCTGATGAACATAGATGCAAAAATCCTCAATAAAATTCTGGCCAATAGAGTACAACAACACATCAGGAAAATCATCCACCCAGACCAAGTGGGATTCATCCCTGCTATGCAGGGATGGTTCAACATTCACAAATCAATCAATGTGATTCACCACATTAACAGACTGCAAAAGAAAAACCATATGATTATCTCAATTGATGCAGAGAAAGCATTCGATAAAATTCAACACCCTTTCACGATGAAAACTCTAAGCAAATTGGGTATAGAAGGAACATTCCTCAATATAATCAAAGCAATTTATAAAAAACCCACAGCCATAATCCTATTGAATGGGGAAAAGTTGGAAGCATTTCCACTGAGATCTGGCACCAGGCAGGGATGCCCACTCTCACCATTGCTATTTAACATAGTTCTGGAAGTTTTAGCCAGAGCCATCAGACAAGAAAAAGAAATCAAAGGAATACAAATTGAGAAGGAAGAAGTCAAACTATGCCTCTTTGCAGATGATATGACTCTTTACTTAGAGGATACAAAGAACTCTACTAAGAGACTATTGGAACTCATAGAGGAGTTTGGCAAAGTGGCAGGATATAAAATCAATGCACAAAAATCAGCAGCCTTTGTATACATAAGCAACGCCATGACTGAGAAAGAACTGCTAAGATCAATCCCATTCACAATAGCTACAAAAACAATCAAATAACTTGGAATAAACTTAACCAAGCACGTAAAAGATCTCTACAATGAGAATTACAAAATCTTAAAGAAAGAAATAGAAGAGGATACCAAAAAAATGGAAAAATCTCCCAAGCTCATGGATTGGAAGAATCAATATCATCAAAATGTCCATTCTCCCAAAAGCAATTTATAGATTCAATGCAATCCCAATCAAGATACCAAAGACATTCTTCTCAGATCTGGAAAAAATGATGCTGAAATTCATATGGAGGCACAAGAGACCTCGAATAGCTCAAGCAATCTTGTACAACAAAACAAAGCTGGAGGCATCACAATACCAGATTTCAGGACATACTACAGGGCAGTTGTAATCAAAACAGCATGGTACTGGTACAGAAACAGATGGATAGACCAATGGAACAGAATTGAAAACACCAGAAATCAACCCAAACATCTACAGCCAACTTATACTTGATCAAGGATCTAAAACTAATTCCTGGAGCAAGGACAGTCTATTCAATAAATGGTGCTGGAAAAATTGGATTTCCACGTGCAGAAGCATGAAGCAAGACCTCTACCTTACACCTTACACAAAAATCCACTCAACATGGATTAAAGACCTAAATCTATGACCTGACACCATCAAGTAAAGAGAGAACATTGGAGAAACCTTTCAAGAAATTGGCGCAGACAAAGAATTCCTGGAAAAGACCCGGGAGGCACAGGCAGTCAAAGCCAACATCAACTATTGGGATTGCATCAAATTGAGAAGTTTCTGTACTGCAAAAGAAACAGTCAGGAGAATGAAGAGACAACCGACAGAATGGGAAAAAAATATTTGCAAACTATGCAACAGATAAAGGGTTAATAACCAGAATCTACAAAGAGATCAAGAAACTCCACAAAAACAAAACCAACAACCCACTTAAGAGATGGGCCAATTACCTCAATAGACATTTTTCAAAAGAGGAAATCCAAATGGCCAACAGGCACATGAAAAAATGTTCAAGGTCATTAGCAATCAGGGAAATGCAAATCAAAACCACAATGAGGTTTCACCTCACCCCGGTTAGAATGGCTCACATACAGAAATGTACCAACAACAGATGCTGGCGAGGATGTGGGGAAAAAGGGACACTAACCCACTGTTGGTGGGAATGCAAACTGGTCAAGCCACTATGGAAGTCAGTCTGGAGATTCCTCAGAAACCTGAAGATAACCCTACCTGTTTGACCCAGCCATCCCACTCCTTGGAATTTACCCAAAGGAGTTTAAATGGGCAAACAAAAAAGCGGTCTGCACCCTAATGTTTTTCGCAGAACAATTCACAATAGCCAAGCCCTGGAACCAACCTAAATGCCCATCAACAGTAGACTGCATAAAGAAATTATGGGATATGTATTCTTTAGAATACTATACCGCAGTTAGAAAAAACGAAATCCAGTATTTGCAACAAAATGGAGGAATCTGGAACACATCATGCTGAGTGAAATAAGCCAGTCCCATAGGGACAAATACCATATGTTCTCCCTGATCGGTGACAACTGACTGAACACCAAAAAGGAAACCTCCTGAAGTGAAATGGACAGTGAGAAACAGTGACTTGATCAGCATAGCCCTGACTGTTAATGAACAACTTAATACATTATCCCTCTTAGTAGTTTTTTTTGTCTGTTCTACTTAATATGACTGGTTTAACTCTGTAATTATCACACAGTTATTCTTAAGTGTTGAAATTAACTGAAATGTGATCCCTGTTAAACATAAGAGTGGGGATAAGAGAGGGAAGAGATGTATAATTTGGGACATGCTCAAGCTGACCTGCCCCAAATGGTAGAGTTAGAAACATACCAGGGGATTCCAATTCAATCCCATCAAGGTGGCATGTACCAATGCCATCTCACTAGTCCAGGTGATCAATTTCATTTCACAATTGATCATAATGAAAGGACTAAGAGTCAAAGGGAGCACATAAACAAGTCTAGTACCTGTTAACACTAACCGATAGAATAAAGGGGAGATTGATCCAACATGGGAAGTGAGATACTCAGCAGACTCATAGAATGGGAGATGTCCTAAATAGCACTCTTGCCTCAGAATCAGCCCTAAAGGCATTTGGATCTGGCTGAAAAGCCCATGAGAGTATTTCAGGCATGGAAAGCCAAGACACTCTGGCAAAAGATCTCTGTGAGTGAGATCCCAGTGGAAAGAACAGGTCTTCAAAGAAGGAAGTACCTTTCTCTGAAGGGAGGAGAGAACCTCCACTTTGACTATGACCTTGTCTAAACAAGATAAGAGTCGGAGAACTCAGAGGGCTTCCATAGCCTTGGAAACTCATGACTGGAGCATAGGGAGATTACTGATGTCATAGACAGGAGTGTCAATTGGTAAAGTCAACAACAAGAGTCACTGTGCACTTACTCCTCATGTTGGATCTTTGTCCTTAGTGTGCTGTACATTGAGATTTAATGCTATAACTAGTACTCAAACTGTATATTTCACTTCGTGCTTCTATGGGGGTGCAAACTGTTGAGATCTTTACTTAATGCATACTAAACTGATCTTCTGTAAAAAAAAAAAAAAGAAAAAAAGAAATTATCAATACCCAACTTGACTCTCACTGGGATTAAACATGACAATAGGTCTGATCTGATTTCATCATCATTTAAAAAAACATCTATTGTTTTTCACTTTATGTTTCAGTGTGGGAGTAACCTGTTGAAATCCTTACTTAATGTACACTAAGCTGATCTTCTGTATATTGAGATAATCGAAAATGAATCTTGATGTGAATGGAAGGGGAGAGGGAGTGAGAAAGGGGAGGGTTGTGGGTGGGTGGGACGGTATGGGGGATGCCATTGTAATCCATAAGTCGTACTTTGGAAATTTATATTCATTAAATAAAAGTAAAAAAAAAAAAGATTCCCGAACAATTAGGTGAAAAATACAAAAAGAAAATCACATGATCATTTTGAGTGAATGTTTAAATACATTTAATAGAATTAAGTTTCTATTTAAAAAAACTTGCTATCAGTCAAAACAAACAAAAAGTAATGTCTTCAATCTGATCAAGATCATAAGGAACCTAAAACAAATAACACACTTAAGCTTTGAAAACTTTTTCCTTGGAAGAAAGCCTAGAATAAGACGCCAACACTATTGTTTTCAACTTCATAGTGGACGAGTAGTCCTGTAAATAAGCAAAAAGAAAATATAAGGGGTAAAGATAAATTTTGAAGGAATATATTGTTTATATAGATCATATATATAATATATCTAGGTTGACACTTTAATACAGAGATAATTCATAAAATCTAAAATACAACTGATAAGTTTAACAAGATTACTGGGAAGATTAATGTATAAAATCTGCTAATTACTCAGTACCAGCAAGAAACAACTATCATATTTAAGAACAAGACGCAGACTAGAAAACAAGTATCTACAACAAAATGAATATTTAACCTCTGTTAACATCCTTAAGATTGATATAAAAAATTTTCAAATGACCCAACAGAGAAATGAGTCAGAAATATGAAGAAAATGAAAAGGCCCAGAAGCCAATAAACACCATTAGACTTCAACTCATCTTAAGCAGGTTACTACAACTTCTAGGTAGGACAGGTGCAGGAAAACCCATGGGGAGGCAGGTGGCATGATCCAGTGGTGAAAGGCCCTCTCCCTGCAGGTAAGGTGGATCCCTAGGGGAGGCAGTTTGCAACACAAACACAGCCCTCCCTGTTACTTCTCCCATCTGGAGAGGCCTAAAATTATGTAACTGCTATCTAGGATGCTGATTCCTTGTGTCTTTTGTTTCATGTGTGCTGATGGCTATGCAAGCTGTCTAATCAGGCCCGGTGGTGTAAACACTGCATAACTACACAGGATCTTGGCACCATAGTAGTCCAGTTCCTATGGGGAGAAAGGGTCCAAGGAGGGGGCTTTGCTACTGGGAGACTCCAGAAGGTATCCCAGTGTCCACTGATCTCTGACCCTCTTTCAGCACAGGAAACCACACACTTAGGAGACCAGGAAATGGTGAGTATGCGGGGCTGGGGTCTAGAATGGGGGAAGGTGGAGCTAAGGCAGGATGCAGGCTCCCAGAGCTGTCTGTGCAATGCTTGGCCCCATCTCACAGGTGACACAGCACTTCCCTGGGTCTCTTTTGACCAACAAGGTGGGGCCTGGACTCACACCTGGGACCTCCGGTGTCCTGCCCTTTTGCTGCTGGCAGAGACTTCTGGGCCCAGAGTCATCCCTGGGCAGCTGTGACTCCCCTGATTGTGCAGTTGGGACTGGGTGGCCACTACAGAGTAGCTGGGCTGTGTGTGGGGTTCAGGCAGGTAAGGAGCTGTCATTTATGGGTCTTCGCTTCCTCCTGTCTTCTCATGTGGGATGAGGGGCCTCAGTTCCATGACCTGACCTTCCTGTGTAACTGTCCAGAAAATATCTCATTATTTTTATATATAATAATATTAAGTATAAACAGTGTAGATGATTTCTAAAATTTACAAGGAGGGGGAAACTTTGTTTAAATTTATTAAAAAGTTTTTCTGTGAGATTGTCAGGAAAGCTTCAGAGAAGTTCTATTTTATTACACAAAAATAATTCATTTTTTACATCCATTTTCACACAGACATAAATAATGACTTTCTCTGAGTCTTTTAGTAAAGGAGTTAAAATAGTGATTTTATCATTTAATCTTTACTATTTCTTTTTTCAAATATTGTTTATAGCCATTGTCTGTTTTCTCACTGAACTAGGTATTTTTTTTTTGCTTTATACTTGTTAAACTAGTTCCCTGAAGTATTAAGCTTTTTTAAATCATAATTTAAATTTAAAATGTTATCTCAAAAACTAAAAAGACAATGAAGGAAAGAAGGTGGCAATGAGACAGGAAGGGTATACATTATTTGTTAGAATTCTATTTATAAACCTATTGAATCTGTTAAAAAATAAAAACTTCCCTAAAAGACTATCAATTTGACAATTTTTAAACAAAATTATGAAACACTAGATATCTTCAATTTTCACTATCATTCTATGAGATTTCAAAGAAATCCTATTTTCTCACCTTAAAATATATTAATGTATTAGGATTTATTATGAAATTATTAAATATAAGAGTGGGAATAAGAGAGGGAAGAGATGTGCAATTCAGGACATGCTCAAGCTGACTTACCTCAAACGGTAGAGTTAGAAACATACCAGGGGATTCCAATTCAATCCCATCAAGGTGGCATGTACCAATGCCATCTCACTAGTCCTGGTGATCAATTTCTATTCACAATTGATCATAATGATAGGCCTAAGAGTCAAAGGGATCACATAAACAAGACTGGTGTCTTCTAATACTAACTGATAGAATAAAAAAGGGAGAGAACGATCCAACATGAGAAGCGAGATACACAGCAGACTCATAGAATGGCAGATGTCCTAAACAGCACTCTGGCCTCAGAATCAGCCCTTAAGCCATGCAGATCTGGCTGAAAAGCCCATGAGAGTATTTCAGGCATGGAAAGCCAAGACACTCTGAAGAAAAAAAAAAAAATCTAAATGAAAGATCTCCGCAAGTGAGATCCCAGTGGAAAGAACGGGTCATCAAAGAAGGAGGTACCTTTCTCTGAAGGGAGGAGAGAACTTCCACTTTGACCATGGCCTTGTCTAAATATGATCAGAGTCAGTGCTCTCAGGGGGCTTCCATAGCCTGGGCAGCTCATGACAAGAGCCTAGGTTGATTACTGAGGCCATAAACAAGAGTGTCAATTTGTTAAGTCAACAACAGGAGTCACTGTGCACTTATTCCTCATGTAGGATCTTTGTCCTTAGTGTGCTGTACATTGAGATTTAATGCTATAACTAGTACTCAAACAGTATTTTTCACTTTATGTTTCTGTGTGGGAGCAAACTGTTGAAATCTTTACTTACTATATGATAAACTGATCTTCTGTATATAAAGAGAATCAAAAATGAATCTTGATATGAATGGAAGGGGAGATGGAGTGGGAAAGGGGAGGGTTGCGGGTGGGAGGGATGTTACTGGGGGGAAGCCATTGTAATCCATAAGCTGTACTTTGAAAATTTATATTCATTAAATAATAGTTAAAAAAAGAAATCATTCCCTTGAGAATTCTTATTTAATATACTGTTTTCAATGAAAATATAATGATTACCAAAAAAGAAAAATCCTTATTATTTTTGATAAAATAGGAAGAGTCTTTAAAAATCACTACTCAAAACATTAAGAGACCTAAAATACAACATTGTATCTTAAAATGCAAGTGACATAGTACCCTTCAAGGTTTTCAAATACGCATTGCTTTTTCATATTGCCAAGTAAATCAGCAAATAATTTAAAGCATATATATGTAATCATTTCTAAAATTCTTCTGGGAAATAGATGTAGTTACTTGTTATGTATATATTTTGAGTAAATAGCAAACATACTCAAAAATATGTTGAAAAAATTCATGCAACTCATAAATAAGTATACAAAGAAATTTTGCACCATAACAAAAAAGCAAGTATTTATTTTCCAACATTAATTTCCCACAAATTATAATCTTGAACTCAAGAAGGAGTACTATATTGATAGAATGATGCCTACATTTCAGGATACCTGATTCTTCATATAATTTTCACTGCCACAAATTACCTGCATGACTTTGAACAACTCACTTTACTTATCTGGGCATTAGCACTTAGCATACTTTTGTGCAAAATGAGGTTTGTGTAACATTATTTACACTCAATATAGATTTCAAGGATCTCCAAAGAGGTATTTTCATGTATCAATTGCAATTTAAATCAAAGATTACATTCTTATATACCCATATATTTTGAACTTTTGCTAGAACTAATATAAAGGAACTCACACATTCAAATTTATATAATATCAATTTCAGTATTTGGGGATAATTAATGCATTAACATTTGAAGCTAAATTGTTTTGGTACAACCCATTTTTCTTAACAGGTCCAGTAATTTGTACTGCTTGCATTATATACTTGATTAAAATGCTTAGGTTTGTACAAATCTGTTTTAATGCAAGTAATGCTTGTGTTTTCACATAAAATTAAGAGTACAGATATAATGTGAGCAGGTGGTATCCTAATGACTCAGCTGACAAACTTGTCAAACTTAATAGTTATGGTTTTGATTTTCATTTCCCTGATGACTAGTGATCCTGAGCATTTTTTTTAATGTGTCTTTTGGCCAATTAAACTTCCTCTCCTGAAAAATATCTGGTCAGGCCTGTTGCCCATTTCTTGACTAAGTTGTTTGTTTTGTGTATGATTAGTTACTTTACCTATTTATAGATTCTGGAATTTAATCCTTTGTCAGTTTCATAATTTGCAAATAAATTCTCCTATTATATTGGTTGCCTCTTAACATTGCTGAGTGTTTCTTTTGCAGTGCAAAAGATTCTCAGTTTGATGTAACCCCACTTGTTAATTTTGGCTTTGATTGCCTGTGCTTCTGGGCTCCTTGCCAAGAAGTCTTTCTCTATGTCACTATCTTGTAGCATTTCCCCAATGTCCATTAGGAAAATGCAAATCAAAACCACAATGAGGTTTCACCTCACCCCATTAGAATGGTCCTCATACAGAAATCATTAAACAACAAATGCTGGCGAGGATGTGGGGAAGAGGATCCCATTGTTGAAGGGATTGTAAACTTGCACAGCAACTGTGGAAGACAATATGGAAATATCTCAGAAGGCTGAATATAGACCTACCATATAACCCAGCCATCCCACTCCTTGAAGTCATCCAAAAGAAATGAAACTAGCATATGAAAGAGTGATAGGTATCTGCAGGTTCACCTCAGCTCAATTTACAATAGCTAAAATTTGGAATCGACACAGATGTCCATCAACTAAGGACTGGATAAAGAAATTATGATATATACACTTTGGAATACCACACAGTGGTAAAAATTAAAACCTTTCATTTGCAATAAAATGGATACTACTGGAAACCATTATACTTAGTGAAATAAGCCAGTCACCAAAAGGTAAATGTCATAGGGTCTCTCTGATCTTTGGTAACTAATATAGTACTAAATGTAATCTATAGGAGAAAAACAGGGCAAGATGGCGGAATAGGACGGGAGCACACTGATAGTCCGGGAAGAGACAGTTTAATAAAAGTGGAGATACTGCAGGTTCAACGAAGAGTTGGGGAAGAAACAGCAGAGGAAACTCTTCTGGAACTAGTGATTCATAGTGGACCTGCGTGGAGGGAGTGGGAGCCCATGGCTCAGGACAACAGTGGTGGAATCTACGCACCAGTGCTGGAACATGAGGTGAGCCAAACCTCAATAGCCCAAGACACTGGAAGGAAAGCAGGAGGAGGAGCCTAGAGGAAATGAGGCTTGAAGCGCCATGGGGGAAAGTTCACCAGGCTAACTATAGGAGAGAGGGAAAAAAAGGGACCAGTATCAATATGAGTTTCTCTCTCTCCGCTCACCTCTCAAAGGCAAGCAAGACAAAGAGCAGGCACCATTTTGATCATATGTAAAAGCTGCACGACCTTAGGGCTGTGCCCACCCACAGCCAAGCAAAAAAACCTGACTGTGGTGGGGGGGGTGTGAAATAACAGGAGAGTAGGACCTAGTGAATGTGTGGAGCTAGTGAACTGAGACTGTGAAAAAAGAGATGGTGGGTGATAGAACTCATGGAGTTCACGTGAGTACTCTCCAGAGATGCTGCAATTCAGTAGCCTTGGCAACCCAATGAGACTGCAGGAGAATTTGAGCCCACAATGAGGGCAGCACAGATTCTCAGTATGGTCCTTGGAAAAGAGCAGGTGAATGTTATACCCACAGGAGCAAGAGATTGGAAGCTGACTACCTTCAGTTCTGCTCAACTGTGCAGAATTACTTCCCTTCTGAATCAAAGAGAGAGAGAGAGAGAGAGTGATTTACCCCACCTAACCTGGGAATGTCACCTTTGGCACACCCTTAACCCTGAGGAACCAAACAGAGCTCTCTGGCCACACCCATCTCAAGCCTCTAAGGCTCCATCAAAAGCAGAC